TTGGGAGCAATTGTTGCATACAATTGTAGAATTGTACAGGAGGAGGAAGAACTGTAACATCTTAATATGAAATTCTTGTATACATTAATAAATAAGCAGAACGATATTATTCCCAAGACACTTTATCATGATGATATATTAAATACATCAAATTATTTGCATAATGTCATTTTAAACAATGGTAAAAGGTGTTTAGAAATTTTTAGAATGCCCCCACACATGTTCATCAATTTGGTAGATTCTCTAAGACAAAGAGGTTTAGTCAAAGATAGTCGATATGTTTCTGCTGATGAACAAGTGGGAATGACATTGAAGATAATTGGCCACAATAAATTGCTTTGAGATACAACTAATCGTTTTCAACATTTAGAGGTAACATTATCTTGCCACTTTAATTTTGTACTAAAGGCTTTATGTGAATATGAAAAAGAGTTTGTCCGACCAAGAGACCTTAATGTTGTTCTGCCTAAGATTATAAACAATTCAAAGTATTACCCATGATTTGAGGTAACAATCCACAGATTTTCCTTATTTAATAATAACTTACTTTTTAGTAAATTGCACTTAAATGCTTGTATATATTTTTTGTAGAATTGTGTTGGTGCGATAGATGGTACACATGTCCATGCATGTGTGCCAAACAGTAAATGTTTTGTGTAGAAAAATTGCAACCATTTTAATATTTTGTATAGGTAAATGTGTAAGTGGGACCCATAAGTAATTTTTGCATGTTCGAATGTATTACTAGGTCCACACATAATATTTAACATGTATGTAAGAGGAACCGATAAGTATGTTTGCCAAATGATCTTTCAATCTTTTTTGTTTTGAAAGATCTTTAAAAAATTGCAACCAAACGGTCTTTGGTCTTTGAAGATCTAATTATGAAAGTTCATTAGTCTTTTGAGGTCTTGAGCTTTTGGAAGATCTTCCTAAAAAGACTTGCCAAACACCACCTTAGTCAATTAACTAAACCATAAGGGTAGTTTAAGAAATTTACACTAATATTAATTATATACATGTAGATAAGATTAGCTCCATTGGAATTGAAGGAGTACAAATACAAATATGTAGAGTTCAAAACTTTGTATTTTATATTATTTTGTATGCATTTGTATTCTTTATGACTTTCCAAACTGAGCCTTAGGGAAATTTAGAGTTTAGTTCACTTAGGGATTTTTATTAGGTTTTTGGGTTTTATTTATCAACCCACTACACATATGATTCACTACCCCCATTGAATTTTGATTCATTTCCCACTTGTTACTACTCCAACTGTACTAAAGTTTATAATTAATAAAACAATATTTTATTTGAATATAAGTTTATTACACGGTGACAAGTTAAAAAGTAATTGATTTTTCTAAAAGTTTTTAAGTTTTCTTTATTTTAAAGATAGAAAGCGAATTAGATAAAAATTCAATATATTAAACTTGGCTCATATTCAGATTTGAAGTTCAGATTTTTATTTTTAAATACAATTAGAATGGATCCCAATTAGACCCCATTGCTAGGAGTGGTCATTGTTTGGTTAAAACCGAAAAAAAACTGAACAAAAAAAGTTGATTTCAATTTTTGGTTATTTTGATTTTATAAAATTTCGGTTTTGGCTTAGGTTTTTAGGGTTTAAAAATTAGGTTAACCGAAAAAAACCAAATTATCTAAACTTTATTTTCTCTCTCTCTACATTAGAGGTTTAAAGTGGGCCATGTTGAGTCAACATGACACAGCTCGCGCAAAGTGCAAACCATGCCATGTCGCGGGCTTGGGTCAGGCCGGGCTGCAAGTTGGGCCGTGGTCTTGGGTTGTGCCGGGCTGGGCTACAGGGCAAGCCTTGGGCCTGGGCTAAACCGAGCTACATTGATTTTTTGACTTTTTTTTGAAATTTTTGATTTATTTTCTAAGTAAAAGTGTAAAACTAAAATATTTAACTTTCTTTTGATCTTTCGCCTTTGATAACTATTTGAAAAATTAAGAAATGAGAAATGAGAAATCTAACACATAAATGAAATTAACCAAATAAGAACTAAGAATGATGGAATAACAAATTGGAAGAAAAATAGGAATTTTATTTCATTTAAATTTGAATGATACAAATTACAAATCATACAATGGTTGGATACTTCTTACTTCCTACTTGAATGAATGAAATATGAAAATAGAATAAATTAATAAAATATAAAAAATACAATTTAGTTACAAATTGAAAATACAAAATTACATTAATAGCAAATAAATTAAATAAAATTAAAACAAAATTTACAATAAATTGAAAACAAAAATAAAAAAATTCTATACAACTAGTCAACTATTATTCATGAATCATGACTTTCATCATCTACTTCAAGTAAAATATCCGGTGTATGTAGTAGTATCATGTCATCCTTTGTCTTGTAAAGTTGTAATCTATCTTCTGCAGGATTGCATCTCTATACTTTCATCATTCATGCAATTTCTCTTGTTGTCCAACACCTTAGTACAGTGGTACCTGCACTAAAACAAGACTCCGCTAGAACTGTAGACACTGGAGGGGTTAGTAGATCATGTGCCATGGCGGAGAGAACTGAATAATTTTTTGAATGTTCACTCCACCAGGCTAAAATATCAAAATTATTTGTTCCCTCACCTAAACTATAAAAATTTGCTTGTAAATAAATTAAGTTCAGTAAATGAACTTGTTCTAGAAGTATTAGATTTATGCCTTCTACTTAATAAATAAAAAAATTTTTATCTTCTACTTATTAAATAAAATTTGCTTGTAGAAGTGGAAGATTTGAAGATGTTAGATGTTGTACAAGTTGTAGGATTATTTCCTACTGTTTCAGATAATCAGATTCATATAAACTGTACATTTCAAATAATAAATTATTAATTTTTTATTTCCAATTTTCAATATTCATATTTTTACAATATGTTTCAAATAAAATATCAAAAGATTCAAAACCATCTTTCCTAATCTTAGGATCTAATATTGTAGCTAAGCAATAAAGGGGAGAAATGTTCTCCCAATATTTTTAAAATTTATTTTCCGTTATTTCAACAATTCATTTAAATTGTGGGTTATTTCTTCTTCATTGTCATGTGTGAGAAAATGTCTGCTCAAATGGCCAGTACCACCCTTGCTACAATAGCTAAAGTCTTTTCTACATTTTTGGCAAACTATTCTTTTCCCCATTCCCTTAACATCCTCTATTTTAAATATTTTCCAAATCGGGCTACTAAACTTGGGGAATTGGTTTTGGGAAGAGCCAACTTTTTTTTTTAATTAAAAAAAAATTAATTTAATTGGACTTACCTGAATTGCTAGATTAGAATCCCAAATTCCCAACTTGATTTTAACGGTTAAAGCCTTTTTAACGTCCAAGCCTCCTAAATTGCTAACTTGAGACTTGAGAATTGGAGAATCAGACAATCAAAGTTACTTAGATTGCAATGAATGTATGAGAGTGAGAGAAGAGATTAAGAAAATTGTTGAATTGATGTGATGAGAATGGTTGAGGATATGGCTATTTATAGGAATTGAAAGTAATTCAATTGCCCAAAATACCTTAAAAACTAAATGTTTTTTTGTTGTTGGGAGGGGTATTTTGGTCATTGTAAAGTTATTTATAACTTTACCCAAAAAGCCCCCTTAAACGAGTTATTGGGGGGCATTTGTGTCATTTTTCTCCCCTCCATAAGCAAAATACATAAGTACCCCCTTATAGACCTGTTCATGGGCCAGGCCGGGCTTTCACTCTGTATTAACAAATTTTTCTAAGGCTCGAGCCCGACCCTCATAAAAAGCCCGAAGCCTATGGCTGGGCCTGAACCCAAAATTTAGCCCATGTTGTTACTACTGCTGAAGTGGCTGAATAGAAAGAGAGAGAGAGAGAAATTATAAAGGAAAAATTAAAAAAATGTATATATTAAATTATAAATATATATATATATATATTTCAATAAATATTATATTATTTATATATTTTATATAATATATAAAAATACATATTATGTATTTTATAAAATTTATAATGCTGAGTCAGGCCGGGTTTTTTTGACAAATCCCGAGCCCGACCCGTAACACAGTCGGGCTTACTGTGTTAGGCCTGAGGTCAGGCCCGTGGACCTCATTACATGACCAAGCCCGATCGGGGTGCGGGCCGGGCCATCGGGCTACCCAACCCATGAACAGGTCTACTCGGGCCATCGACACGACCTAATTTACACCTCTACTCTACATATATAATATGTATAATATATATTATATTGTACTATGCTTTTTATTAAAACATATAATTTATTACATATAATATACTTTTAATATATAGTATATGTTAAAATATATACGGTAATGAATTTCGATTTTGACTAAAATAACCATAAAAAATCGGTTTCGGTTTGACTTTTATTTAAAAAAATTTAATTTATTCGATTCAGTTTTTAAATGAATAAAACGTTTGCTCATTCCTACTAGAGCCTAAATTCATGTCGCGAAGTTTAGGATCAATCCATCTTGTATTACAAATACATCTTGACATTAAAATTATTTCAAGCCCAAAACACTAATAACTATATATAGGGAAAAATCAGAAAAATAACTAAATATCTATATGCGTTTTATGTAATTTTATTATTTTATCCAATTAAACTCAAATTCAAAGCCATCTCAAAACCTGAAACCAACCAATCTAATAAGAATTTTAAATCACCGTACCAAAATTTTTTGTTTCGGGTGGGCCATACCATACACATCATGTGAAGCCAGCATCTTTTTTCGAGCTGTTGGCACGCACAATACAGTGATACTCATAGATATTCCTTCATTTTCTCTTTTTATTTATTTATTTTTGTAATAACAGAGAGAGAGAGAGATTTTTGGCGGTAACATTTTGGTGGGAACGCTCAGAAGAAAAATCAATAAAATCGAAATTTATTATTTTGTTATTTATTGTATATTATACAATTTACCTTATTAGTTATTACACAACTATATGCTTTTGCTCTTCTCCTCCTCATAAATCATAAATATAGAGTGTTTGTTTTGAACTCTACTCGCTACTCGCTACGCCCCCCTTCCGCCCTAAAGTCGTATAAGCTATTAGAATTTAGAAGTCAGTCTGTCGCGGCGAGACGCAGAGCTATACGCTCAATCAAAGCAAGGGTTCATTATTGATCCGTTTCTAGGGTTTTTCGTCTCTTCAGCTCTTTCTCTGCCTCTTTCCTCTTATTCCATCGATCGAAAAGTTAGAACGACAGCGAGGTCAGTCAATCATTTCATTCTTTGTTCTATGATTTTTATCCAACAATCAATCCTCGAACCTTCACCAGGACAAAGAACCTCGATTGGAACCCGTGATCTTTCTTTCATTTTTTCCTCCCATTTCTTTCTCTGTTTCTTGTCATGCGATTTTCGCAGTCATCGACCGGTTCTCCAGCGGAGGGTCGTGCGCAAACAAGTCCTTCTTTATTGCCCCAGTCTCGGCATTTTAGGTCCGGGCGGGAGCACTCGCGAGCTCGGAAGAAACATAAGAGACTGGACGCTATATGCGAAAAGGAGTACAATCGCCACCGTGTCATTGAAGCCGAGACGAATGAGGTGAATGCTGAAGGAGCCCCGGGGAATGTTGATGCGGAGCTTCGTAGGAGTTCTCGCGTTAGGAGAGCGCCGGTGTTACTTGATGTGTCTCCACCGCCTGTGAAGAAACGACGCAAAATTCATAAAGGTGGAGGCAGTCAGACCAAGAAGAATGAGACGTCTGGTAATAGGAAACAGGGGAAGGATTGTTCGGAGCAGCCTTCGCCCGTTCCTAATTCTGAAGATTTGGAGCAACCAGATAGCTGGAAATCAAGGCTTAGGTCTAGGGCAAAAAATGTTTATTTTTCTCCGAAGGAAAAGGATGCTTCTCCCCTTAGTAAGAGGAGGCTTTTTGATGAACCGGAAGAGTCTAAAGTTGAAGAAAAGGTTGGAGGTGGAGAATCAAATAATAATAAAGAAGGATTACAAGGTGCCAAGTCCCCCGTCGCTAAGTCGAAGAAGCCTGGCAAGGCCAAGGGGTCGATGTGTCCCGTAAATGAGGATCAAGCAACTGTCTCCTGTAAGAGCAAGGAAAATTCCAATGAGGAGAACGTGGAGAAGAGGTTGCCAGACATGAATCAGGAAGGTGCCTCGCGAGTTGAAATCGTGATGGAGGCTGGAGATGAGACAATTGTAGATGATAGTTCCACTCAGGTAACCGAGAAAGACGGAGACGAGGTTATTACTTGTATGCAGTTAGACAAGGAGGGTGACGACAGAAAGGATTTAGAGACTGTGGAGCAATGCGTGGAACAGCTGGAACAGCCAGGGTGTGAAAAGGAAGGAGGAAACTCGAAGGATGCAATGTCTGCGGATGCAGCTCCCACAGACCCACCAGAGAGCGTGGATTGTCATCCCTCCAAGGATGCCTGCCCGAGCAAGTCTGATAACAAACCTTCAGAAGATGTGAATGTTGAACGGGTGGCCAAGTCAAGCCTCTATTCAACTGAGACATTTGACAAGCCACGCTTTACTGAAGGACGAAGGTGTGGCTTGTGTGGTGGTGGAATTGATGGGAAACCCCCAAAGAAGTTGGTCCCAGGTTCCAATGAGAGTGATAATGAGGCATATGGTGGGGCATCTGCTTCAGAGGAGCCTAACTATGACATATGGGATGGATTTGGTGATGAACCTGGCTGGCTTGGGCGACTCCTGGGCCCTATACATGATCGATATGGTATCGCTGGTGTTTGGGTTCATCAACACTGTGCAGTATGGAGTCCAGAGGTGTGGTTCATAGACTTAGCTGCTTTTGTTATTGAGCTTCATAGTTGTGGTTTACTTGAAGGAAGCTGTGGATATATGAACTTTGTACATATTCCATAATAAATGTGCTGGTTGTTAGAGGTATCACTTCCTTGCTGATTATATGAGAAAATTTTGGCGGTTAGTTACTTCCTTTTGTACATGGAGTTTCCTTTTCAGTTATACTTTAAGACAGTTTTACCTTGCCCAAAAGAAAATAAATAAATAAATGAATAAATAAAAATCTAATGCTATTTCTCAGTGTTTATAATAACATGCATTGGTGTTATTGCTTATCGTCAGTCAGCAGTATTTACTTCATATCATGTTTATTTTTGATTTTATGAATAATTGTTACTTTATTGCTTATAAAAAATGAAAATAATTACAAGATTATGACATGTGCCCCATAAAATCAGGCTGGCTTCTGCCAGCTAACATTTAATGCATCAATACATTTCAAACTCCCTTAACTGACTTCAAAACAGTTGGACTCTACTGACACCCTGTTTGGCCACAGCATCAACAATACAATTTGCTGATCTATGCACCCACCAAAAACTGATTGCTTGTTTCCCTCTCTAAACCCCTTACTATATTCCTATATTTTGTTGGTAGGTAAATGGGCTACAGTTCCACCATTGGTGGAGTTCCTGTAGCCTATTTGTCTGGGCTATAAGGGTAGAGTGGCCTCATCACAGTTTCTGAAAACATCTCCTATGCCTGACAGTCTAGGGTTACCCAAGTATGCATAGTTTTTACCAGCAAGCTAGCTGGCACTTTCCTTATTCCTGGTAGGATTGCTAGTAGTTCCACCATTGGTGGAGTTCCTGTAGCCTATTTGTCTGGGCTATAAGGGTAGAGTGGCCTCATCACAGTTTCTGAAAACATCTCCTATGCCTGACAGTCTAGGGTTACCCAAGTTGCATCCATCAAGGTTTAATCTGACCTAGTTTCCAATTGGTGGCTGCCATTGCGAGGAAGTTGTGGTTCTAGAGGTAGATGAAGATGTGATCCACTGCCAACCTCTAGAGATCTCATCAATAGAGAATGGGTTGAAAGTATGCATAGTTTTTACAAAATGTATCACTTTCACTGAGATGCTTTTGCTGACTGCTTCTCTAGATCATGCCTTAGTATAAAAGGTTGTATTATTCCTTTCTTCCCAAATTGTCCAAAGAACCAAAGCTCTAGTACTTGACCACAGAATCCTCCTCTTATTCCTTGTAGGAGAAAAAGGAAGCTCTTAAGAGACTCTCCATGTCACTTAGAGGATTCCACTTGCACTCAAAAAGAGCAAAGAACCATTCTCAAGTGCCAGCAACCAGAATTTAGAATATTAGCAGGTTTGTTAAAAAGAGAACATATGTGTGGGGGTAACTGCCAGTTAGGTCTTTTTTTATTCACTTTTTTGTTGTTTCATTTTTTATTCTCATTTGTAAAATGATATGAAACTTTTATTAAGCCCCAATTTTATGCAAAAGGGCCTACATTTGACTGCAAGTTCATTGTTGAAATTGACACTATCCACTATCCAAATAAATTCATTCTTCATAGCATTTTGCACACTTTTTTTTGGATAATTAACATATTTCATTAAAAAGATCCTTCCCATCTGAAATCTGAATGGTAGGGAAAAGCAATACCAGGGGATGAAACTATCCCCAACTAATTGAGAACAGCTGTTATAATTTTTTTTTGGATCAGTAACAGCTGTAATAAATTTGACCCTCGCCTTGGTAAGCCCTAAACAAGACATTTCCTGTTTACCCCTGTTTTGGCTAAAGCATCAGCAATCATTTGCTGATCTCAGTACCCATCCAAATGAACAGTTCAGGTTGTTTCCTATATGCTACATGTGATCTAAATTGCCATGGTATCTCCTCAGCATGTCTTAGCTAGCTTAAAAGTACTTGGCAATTTCATTTATTGATCATTTCCTTCTATCCCTTTGTGGCTGTGAGCTTCAGTTGTTGAAGGTAGTGCAAGTTTTTCTTCTTTTAAGGAGTTGCCAAAGCCAATTTAGACCTGAATAGCTGATGAGTATATTGTCATCATGATCTCTGACCCTGCTTCTCCCAGGTTGCGCAGATTATTGCTGTAAAAATATAAATTTATTTTCATTCCTTTAGGAGCTTCCCACTCCTCTTGTCTGCTATGATTTCTTTGTTGGAAATCTGCACCTAAAATCATTCAATTTCTTGAGTGGTCTAACTTTTTCAAGACATTCAATATGTGATGACTGATTAATGAGTAATATTATTAAGAAAGAGAAAATTAAAGTACAAAATTCACATAATAGATCTACATGGAAAATTCCTTCTATGGATTCTGATTTCTTTCTCCAAATGATTAACAAAAATACAGAATATACTTCATCTTTGACATAACATTTGTGTCCAATAACACAATATCTTGCTACCCCACCACCCAAAAGGAAAAAAAAAGACATGCAAAATCTCTTTATCAACCCTCAGGTTCCTAATGTAGAAAATCATCTAGTAGTTATTAAAGAAAAAATATAGAAAATCATCTATAGCCTTCTAGTTGAGTTTCCTCTTAGGTTGCTTTTGCTACCATTGCTGTTTCCACCCAAAATGTTTTGGGTTGATCAATTCAAATTGGTTTGAGATTTGTCTTGTCACATTACATATTAGAGTCACTAGCTGGAATGGTTGGACTTTACCCCTCTGGAGCAATAAACATCAACTTGCTGTTTCTATAATCAGCTTGCCATATACATGCCTTTTTAAGGTATGCCTGTTTCAACCATAAACCAGCTCAAATAACAGTTGTATGCCAATTTGTGTTGATCAACCCAAAAGTCCAAAATGTTTCAGGTAGAAATATCAATGTCACCAAACACAACCTTAATTGTCTTCATATTAACCATTCTTTTTAGGGAAAATTCCCGATCAGTACCCTGTACTTTGGCTCGAGTGACAATTTGTTCCCCGAACTTTAAAATGTGGCAAACCAGTACCCGAACTTTCAAAATGTGACAATCCATTACCTGCTGTTAACCAGTCCGTTAATCAGCCGTTAGTGACATTTGAAAGGTAAAAAATGCCCTTTGAATGCCATCTGATTCTCTTTATCAACCATCCAAACATTGACAATAAAATGAACAGTCCCAAATTCTAGCTTCTTCTAAACAGTCACCAACTTTTTTGAATAGAAGAGGCTAGGATTTGGGACTGTTCAATTTTTTGTCAACGTTTGGATGGTTGATAAAGAGAATTAGATGGCATTTGAAGGGCATTTTTGACTTTTCAAATGTCACTTAATGGTTGATTAACGTACTGGTTAACGGAAAGTACTGGATTGTCACATTTTGAAAGTTCGGGTACTGGATTGTCACATTTTGAAAGTTTGGGTACTGGATTGTTGCATTTTAAAGTTTGGGGACCAAATTGTCACTTGAACCAAAGTACAGGGTACTGATCGGGAATTTTACCTTCTTTTTACAGAGATCATCATTAGTTGGGGTAAAGTTATGTGAGAAATATGGTTAACGAATAGTACTTTATATATGTTAAGTTAGTTTTGGAAGAAACTGACATGAACCAAATGACATGCTTGCTGAATGGCTTTTACATGATTAGATGTGCATCTGTTTCTAGAATCTATGTAGGGCTGCAACTTGGGTGCGCCCAACCTGACCTAAGCTTGGTTTGGGCTTGGGTTGAGGCCTTAGGTAGCCCAAGCCTGGGCTCAACCCAACCCAAGCACACCCAAACAAATACATACGTACATACATACATCCTTCTTATTTATATAAAATATATATATATTTTTCTGATTATACATACATGTATATATAATATATGCATAAAATTCATGTATGTGCATTTGTAAATGAAATTGAAAACTTTACACATTTTCAATCAATCCTACTCCTAAATTGGGCCATATAGCCCAGTAAAAGATGGCTATTCAAAGTTATATTGATAAATTCTTTCAAACTCCATCAACCTACCTAAGTCGAACTAAGCCAGGTCCTGCTTGACCCAACCCTACCTAAGCCCAAGCCTGTCTCGTGTTGTATTAGGTTAAGCTCAGGTTGGGCCTGGGTTGGTGAACTTGGGTTGGGCCAGGTCCAAGCCCGAGGTTTGCACCTTTAGGGTTGGGCCAGGTTCAAGCCCGAGGTTTGCACCTTTAGGGTTGGGCCTGGGTTGATCCTTAACCCAACCCGTGTCATCTCAAAGAACCTTTTGCAAGGAAATAAATTAAATTGGAAGGAAACATTATTCATCAGTTCTTGATGATCAATGACCTCTGCCTTATTGGTTTAGAATTTTCAGTTAATGATTTAGCTACACATGGTTGTTGCTACTTGTTTCCATATTATTTTATTTATTTGCTGTTCATTCAATTATCTTCTCACAGTTAAGTTCTCTGTTTCTTTCCAATGAATTTGTCTCTTAGGTCTATTTTGCTGGTCTGGGACGCCTGAAAAATGTTAGAGCAGCACTTTTCAGGGGAAGAGTTTTGAAATGTAGTCGCTGTGGGAGACCAGGAGCAACTATTGGGTGCCGTGTTGATCGGTGTCCAAAAACTTATCACTTGGTCAGTTGATTGTATGGCCCTTTGGGCAATTATTTAGTTTTATTATGACCTGGAAAATGTGCATTTTTTCTCCCCTCTGTCATATTTTGACTTAAAAGTTAAACAGTTTATCTTTGCTATTGCAGCCTTGTGCACGATCTGATGGTTGCATTTTTGATCATCGCAAATTTCTAATAGCCTGCACTGATCATAGGCATCTTTTCCAACCTTATGGAAATCAATATTTGCACCGGATGAAAAAAATGAAACTTAGGAAGATGAAGTTGGAACTGCGAAAACAGTCTCATGATGCTTGGAGGAAGGATTTTGAGGCAGAAGAAAAGTGGTTGGAGAACTGTGGTGAGGATGAAGAGTTCGTGAAACGTGAGGGGAAGAGGCTTCATCGAGATCTCTTGAGAATTGCACCTGTATATATAGGAGGTTCTTCATCTGAAAGTGAGAAACTATATCAAGGTTGGGAATCTGTAGCTGGACTTCAGAATGTTATCCAATGCTTGAAGGAAGTTGTCATATTACCTCTTTTATATCCTGAATTCTTTAGTAACCTGGGACTGACTCCTCCTAGAGGGGTTCTTTTACATGGATATCCTGGGACTGGTAAAACTCTTGTGGTGCGGGCATTGATTGGCTCATGTGCTCGTGGTGATAAACAAATAGCTTATTTTGCCCGTAAAGGTGCGGATTGTTTAGGAAAATATGTTGGTGATGCTGAGCGCCAGCTAAGACTCTTATTTCAGGTTGCTGAGAGATCTCAGCCATCTATAATATTCTTTGATGAGATTGATGGTTTAGCTCCGCGTCGCACAAGGCAGCAGGATCAAACACATAGTTCTGTTGTTTCAACTTTACTTGCCCTACTGGATGGTCTCAAATCCCGAGGTTCAGTTATAGTTATAGGTGCAACTAATCGTCCTGATGCTGTTGATCCTGCCTTGAGACGGCCTGGGAGATTTGATAGGGAAATTTACTTTCCTCTGCCATCAATGAAGGATAGGGCTGCTATTCTGTCACTCCATACTCAAAGATGGCCAAAATCAGTATCGGGATCATTGCTTAAGTGGGTTGCAAGACAAACTACAGGATTTGCTGGTGCAGATCTGCAGGCACTTTGTACCCAAGCAGCCATGAATGCTCTGAAACGAAATTGTGCCTTGCAAGATATTCTTTTGTCGGCTGAAAAGAAGATTGATAATGGTAACCGGCTTCCTCTTCCTTCTTTTGTTGTGGAGGAAAGAGATTGGTTAAGTGCTCTTGAATGTTCACCTCCTCCATGCTCCCGCAGAGAAGCAGGAATGGCTGTAAACGATGTAGTTTCCTCTCCTCTTTATACCCATCTTATTCCTTGCCTGTTGCAACCACTATCATATCTGCTTGTGTCACTTTATCTTGATGAACGCATTAATTTACCTCCTTGCCTTTCTAAAGCTGTGATGTCAATTAAAGGTATTGTTTTTTCTGCTTTGGAAAAGAGGAAGTTACCTGGTTTTTGCTGGCGATCCTGTCTTCATGATTTAATTTGGGAAGAAGATATTGCAAGGGAGATAGAGAGAAATCTTTCTTGTGCTGGCCTTTTAATTGGGGTGTCTAATCTTTCTAATTCTACTGCATTAAATGGGGAGAGTGATGATGATAATGAGACAGTTGAACTCTGTGCCAGTTCTCATCTTGGTTTGCAGAATGCATCATATTCATCAAGAATGGGAATAACAGGATTCCGCATTTTGATTGCTGGAGGTCCTGGATCTGGCCAAAGGCATCTTGCTTCATGTCTTCTCCATGGTTTTGCGGGGGATGTTGAAATTCAGAAGGTTAATCTGGCTACCATGTCACAAGAAGGTCATGGAGATATGGTTCAAGGCTTAACACAGATATTATGTATGTTATTATCCTCTATTTTTGGGTTCTGGTTAGCACACCTCGGTGAATCATGCATGCTTGCTTTTGATCTCCCACTTGGTTCACACTTATTATTGTGTCTCTTGCTTCATTTTTTTTCATGACTTAAAGCTTGTGAAGTTAGTTTGCTTATATAAAATTAGAATGCTTATTATTGAATAAGTATTCTAATTTTGATATGTTTCAACAATGAATTCATAGACTTTTTTGGGTTTTCACACTTTATGTTTCAACCCTGTCTAATGCTTGAATATTCCTCAGAATTTTTAGCTTAACTTCCAACTTGAGTGCTGTTTAGTGGGTTATCTAATATTTTTCCTGTAATCTTGCTCTTTATTGCTTTTGGACCATGCGGTATCAATATATTTTTTATGTCTGAATACCTTAAGCACTAGATATCTTCTATTACTAGATGCTTCTCTGAATTGAGCTAATTGGATGGGTTAAAACTTTAGACATGTTCCTCTTCTTCATCTTCACTGTGTGCTTTGATGTGGAAGTAAGAGTCTGTTAAATTGTTCAGTTGACCTTGAAATTACCTCTTCAACTGACTATTTTTGGCTTATAAATATAAATTTCTTCAAGGAAGCATAGTAGAGTTTTCCTTTCTTTTTTCCTTGTTTTTATTTCTTTCTTTGAGCTTTAATATGGATGCTAACCTTTAAGCACAGATGAACATTCCATTACTTAATCAATGCATTATGTGGTGTTAAGGGTACACAACTTGTTACAATTTTAAATGCTTTTGCTCTTGTCAAATTTTGTACAGTGAGATGTGCGAGTATTGGGTCATGTATAATCTACATGCCCCGACTTGATTCATGGGCAATGGAGACAGACCACCAAGTTTTTGAGGAGGAGAATGATTCAGAGAGTGATTCCTGTCGAAGGACATATGAAGCAGCTGCCTCACAAGCATGGAATTCCTTTGTTGAGCAGGTGGATTCCATGTTTTCATCATCGTCCTTGATGATTTTGGTAAGTTTGAAAGTTATATATTATTCCCGATCTTCAACTTAGAATGTGGTGCTGCTTCATTTGATACTCTAATAAGTTAGCTTTTACAAAGCTTTTGCTTCCTTGGGAACTTAGCACTTGGAACTTGTAATTTCCATATTATTTTTTTCCATTTGCCCAAGTCATATTTTGTTCTCAAGGGAAGTGAGGAGGGTTTTGGGATCCAATGGGGAAGACCATAACACAACTTGATCTGATAAGGGGGAACTTGGAGTTCCTATTTTCTTTTCTAACCATCACGCTGTCTGCAGCTTATTTGTTCTCAAAGACGTGGGAGTTTATTTCATACCAGGTTGGCCATGTTATCATGCTTGGCTGCATGGATCAATTAACTTCTCTTTCCTGAAGCCCCTTTTAAGTGCCAACTCCACCATAACTGCTCCAAGGATTCAGGGAAACACCACTGAAGCCTGAAAATTCCAAGAAAATGAGCCAAAAGAGTCATGGTAGTAGTGCAGCGTATGAGCAGGTGGCTTGGAGACTGAATAATGTGGGCAAATCAAACAATCTTACTAGGAAAACCTGTCCTGTTTGGGAAGAAAGGAATACTAGAATTATTCAAGGGATTGAAAGGTCCTAGGAGCAAGTAATTGACGACATAACTATTAGGTTCATACATTGGTTGAGTTATTCAAAGACTACTTAGTTGAGGACATTCTTGGAGGTTGGTCTGTAGTGGCAAATTCTTCAATTATAAAGAATGTGATTCAGGAGCAATGGGTCCCCTTTTGCAGAACAAAGGGTGAATTTGCATTTTGATGGAAGCTCCTTGGGGGAGAATTTAGAGATGCCGAGGGTAAAACTATATTCTGGACGAATAGGTGTGGGTGAAACCACTAAAAGCTGAGGTTTTGGTCCTATTCCAAGGTTTGGGGTTGTCTAAGCAGTGGGGACTGCACACTTTTGAGGTGAACCATTGAAGAAGACTCTAAGTTAATTTTATTGCTGATTAATAAAATTATTTCAATTATAAAAAAAAAGGATGGTTGCAGACAAAAATCTTGGAGATTTGGACATATTGACAGCAAATGAGGGAAATTTTCTACTTAGCAAGGGAAGCTGGGGCAACTTTCAAATGGTCTAGGAGGTCAGCCAATGGCTTAGCTGATACCTTGGCAAAACAAGGAATCCTTAGGGATAATCTTTTTTGGGCTGTGTTGTAATCCTTGAGATAAATTAAGGGGTCAACACTCGTTGTGGGTGGTTGACAATTGTACTTCTTAATCTAATGTTTTAATGAAAGCTACCGTTTCCAATAAAAAAACCATAGTCCATACATCATTGCTTGGGAATCTCTCAGGGTTATTAGGTTCAATTTTCTGAAGAAGGATGAATGATTAGATTGTAAATATTCCAGATGAGTCCAACTGGGGGGGGGTTATGTGTTAAACCACAATTTTTTGAAGCAGAAGACAGATTTTAAGTAATGGCAGATCTATTTGCTCTATCAATAACCACCACTTCCAATGCTGATAATAAAACACCTCTCCAAGTTCCACCTTCTATGGCCCCTCGTACCCTATTTGGGAACAGGTGCTGCTGTGCTGACCTTGAGGTTTAGTTAGAAGTTCAGACAAAGACTCCAACTCTAAGTCATTTATATACTAAGTATATGCAGGTTTCAAACTAATGTACTCATTGGACTTTCAAGGTTTGTTGTAGTGAGCTTGTTGGATAGATGAAAAGTGATGAAGTTGGAAGATGTGGCATCATGTTAGAAAAGTTATAGCCTTTGTATCTAGGGTGAATGCCTTATTTACATGAGTCAGGTGATCAGCAAATACATCTTTTATTTGGGACTCACTATGCATGTGATAAGTCTTGAAGCATTTAGGCTGGGGTGCTAGGAGTTTTTATTTGATTTAGGAGACTATAAAGGCCATTACCCAATGTTAATCCCAGCTATCTGGGGTCTTGGGAAGGACAGACTGGATGATCCTAACATTTAGCAATTTTTTTTTTCACAAAGTGACCCGCTCTCAGACTTGAACCCACGTTGTCAGCTTGAGATTTTACCATTATAACAAGTAATTTATTTGTCATTAAGCAACAAATTTTATCTAAAAGAATGGAATTCACACCAATTTAACGTCTTGGAAGCCTTTGTTCTGGGCTTTTTTTGATGAGTTTAGAAACTATATTAGTTTTGAATTATTATCGAAGGTTATGTGCTTACTTTCTAATTTGAATTAGGAAATATGATATTAGAATTAAGTGGGGATGAAGGACCAATGTCATTATGTCACTATACATTTATACACTTACTTTTACTTTCAAGAGAGGTAGCACCTCGTGCCTCTCTTTGGGATGCTGTAAATTTGCTTACGTTTTGGTAATGAAGTAACTTTTCAATTATAAAAAAAAAGCACCTTCCTCTGAGTGGGACTGTGGGAGGCTAGCCATATGTTTGAAGAAGTCCTCCGTGATTAGCAAGATCAGAGTGGGTTGAGATGGATGAATAGGAAAGCTGGAACCGATAGAATTGGAAATGAACATATTTGTAGGAATCTAGAAGTAGCCTCTTGGAAACAACTTCTCTGTATTTACAGGGGTACGGCTGCGTACATCTGTCCCTCTCCAGACCCTGCATTGGTGGGAGCCTCGTGCACTGGGCTGCCCTTTTTATGTGGTGTTGAAAAGGGTGGAATGGTTGAAAAGGATCCATGTAGCTGACTGCCGACCCCATATAGTTGGGGCAAGATTTTGTTGAGTTGAATTAAGGGTGGATAGAGCAGAGTTATAATGAGGGTCTTCTATTTCACAGGGATTGACACTTCATGTATTCAAGGGATTGATAGTTTTGTGATTTTCTTATTTGAAGACTGGGTATGGTTCTATTGGGTGGAGCATGCTTAGTACTTCATTCTATACTCAATCTTCTTTTATTGATTATAAAGTGCTTTGTTAAATTGTTACTGATTCAAAAAAATATGGAATAATTGCAACTTTTTATAAGAAGTATTGTTTGATCATCCTTCTCAGTTCCAATGACATTGCTTTTCAAGATTTTTCTATTGGTGCTGTGGCCATTGTTTTTTTTTTTTGCTTTTATGGAAGCTGTTACAATATTATGTTTGAGTTGGTTTCAGTTGTTATTACATTATTTCTTTGTGAATTATGTTCTTCCTTGGAAACTTTAAACTGACTTCTTGTTATGGTGTGTGCAGGCTACTTCTGAGGTGTCAATTCAAGATCTCCCTCCTAGAATAGGGCAGTTTTTCACCAGTGATATATTGAACTGTAATGATCAAGTTCTCTCAGAACACACAATACCACGATTTGTGGTGGAGGTTGATGGGATTTTCAATCGAGATACTGTAATCAATTCATCAGTAGCAGAATTATCATGTGGTTTAGTTCAACAATATGTTCAGTTGGTTCATCACAGAGTACATCTTTGCAGTATGTCTAAGCAACATGCAATTTTTGACACAAATAAAGAGAACATAAGTTTGAACACAGATAATGGAGCATCTAATGATCGAATTAAGATTCAAGTCACTTCTGTAAAGGCTTCTAATGGCAATGCTTCTTCTAGTGGCCATCAAATCCTTCAATATAGAAGTGGGGATAAGCAACAGCCTCTGCTGAAAACTAATGGCCATCCAGAAGATGAGATGCAGTTTGGTCCTCAAGATTCTGTTCCCAGGATTCCACTGAACAGTAGGACTCTGAAGGGGAAATCTAGTTTGCTGGTAGCAATATCAACATTTGGGTATCAGATTCTGCGATATCCTCATTTTGCTGAACTCTGTTGGGTCACATCAAAATTGAAAGAAGGTCCCTGTGCAGACATAAATGGACCTTGGAAGGGCTGGCCATTTAATTCTTGTATCATTCGTCCCAATAACTTGTTAGAAAAGGTATCTGTTGGAGGTAACTCCAGCAGTCTTAAAAACAAAGAAAATTTTGGTTTAGTTAGGGGTCTAATAGCAATTGGCTTGTTGGCATACAAGGGTGTCTACTCATCAGTTAGAGAAGTTTCTTTTGAAGTTCGAAAGGTTCTGGAGCTTTTAGTTGGTCAGGTTAATTCCAAAATTCAAGGTGGGAAAGATAGGTATCGGTTTATTCGTCTTCTATCACAAGTGGCTTACTTAGATGATATGGTCAACAGCTGGGCATACATGTTACAGAGGTATTATTTACTGTTACCGTTACTTTTGCAATCCTTTTCACCTTCTTATTTCAAACCTAAGGTAGTCTAACACTCTTTGTTTCCTTTGCAGTTTAGAAGACGGTCAAATTTCAGTTTCAAATCCTAGGCCAGCAACAATGGGCCTCTCAAATGATCAAGATACATCGGTTGATTGCCTGAATGGGGATGATGCATGCAAGCAAAATCTTTCTAGCAAAAGTTGCATTGAAGTAGAAGTGAAGGAAGATAATCCCTGGAAACTTGTGGCTGACAAGATTGAGTGTGCTGGTTTCAAAGAGATCAATAAGGGGATTGTTAATCCTGGTTTGGTTAATAGTGAAGTTATTCCAATCTCTGGAGAAGCATCTCCTCAAAAGATGGTCTTACCTGGTCATTCTTCTGCTGGAATACCTAAAGAATCTAATCCATTGGTCAGTGTAAGCGTGGTGCATGAACAGTCTAAGGTTGATCATACTGAACATTGTAGCTCAGGAGATCTTGTGGACAATGCAAGGTTATGTGGAGATTCCTTGAAAAAGTCCAATGGCTTGGTAGCAGAACCTGTTCTTTCTTCTGAGGAAGGTGTCTGGATGGATGATGCCAGCAAGCAGTGTAATGGTTCTTTGATGCCAGAGCTTGGTCATTCATCTGAGGACAGTGAATGTAAACCTGATGAACCTACTTTGGATATCAACTCCACTTTAGACAAAGCCCACAATCTTTCAACTGCTTCTGGAATTTCATGTTTGTACGAATGTTGCCCTGAATGCATCCATTCTATCCATTCTTGGGTTCAAAATGTTCTTATCCATGAGCAGGAGTCATATGGAAGCTGCTGGACTGTAGAGGATGTTCACAATGTTGTTGTGTCTTTGTCTGCGAATCTCTTTTCAACAGTTAGAAAATTTTATTTTGATGAAAGTGTCAGCACTTCAGAGAAGTTTGAGAAGACACTGAGACATGATTGCCATGAGCACCAGGCTGTGGATGCTATCAAGCTTAAGAAATCATTTTGTCAGTGCATAAGTTCAGGAAATAGGGTAATCATGCCAATGGAGTGTATTTGTCACTCAAGAAGCAGGGATGTTACTGCAATAACAAATGCCTGTACAAATTCTCAGTTTGGGCTAAATTTAAAATTCTTCTTCAGAGATAGTGTACTTGTCCCTGTGGATCCTGACAAGGATGTTTTATTTCACTGTAAATTTCAGAATTTGTGCCTTTGTTCTCTTATAGAGTCAATATCAATGAGCAAGAGCCCTTTGGGTTGATGAAATACTGTCATTTTCAATTAGGTTATTCATGGTATTGTTTGGTGCTATGACAAATCAAGTATTTGACTTCCATTGGGAGATGTATAGAAAAATTTTTGCTGTCTTCTATTTAATTAAATGCAGTTCATCCTTTTTTTAATACCAACAATCTAATTCTTTGTTTTCTTCCCTTCTTTGATATCATCTAGCAAGTTTTGATTCTTTCTGGGTTGGAGCTATCTCTAAGTTTGTAAGTGTTGTTTTGGATTTTTTTCTTTATTTTATTGAACCAGAATCTGTTCTTTCATATGCTGTATTAATTTTTCAGTCAATGTAGATAATTGGTTGTTACTACTTACCATTCCCTCTTACAATCCATATGCAAGAAAATAAGATACATATATAGATGCATGCTCATATATTTTACAGTTATATTGAATGTGATTTATAAATTCAATGTCAAATAGAGATGAATATAGGGACAAGAACAAGAAATTGTTTGATTTTGCTTTTATAAAAGGTCAAGGGCACAAATAGGATATGATTACCATTCATTTTCTTAATTATGGCCTATTAACTTTGTCATTCTTTAGGATACTCTCTCTCATTTAACAACTTATTACTAAGTTCCATTATCTGATTTTGTTTGGTTTCTTTGATCATTTTTTTATTATTATATGGCAAGAGAATCCTTGCCATTTTGATGGATAGGGAAGGTCAATGGTCCATTTTTTTTTTAAATTTCTTTCTGTGGACAGCAGTGCTTGATTAGATTTTTTTTTGATTGGAAACGGTAACTTCACTAAATAACTTCAAAATAACTTTCCAGATTTAAGTACAGCTGTCAACCCCTAAGTAGGTGTTGAGCCCCAGTTATCTTTCTTACAAAACTGCCCAGAACATACTCTCCCTCACAGTCCCTTGTTTAGCCAACGTGTCAGCTAAACCATTAGCTGATCTCCTTGTCCATTTGAAGCATGCACCAATCTCCCTTGTTGTATTGTGGATTTCCCTTATGGGCTGTCTATAAATCCAAGCTCCCAACTTACCAGATTGCAACCATTCAATCAACAATTTAGAGTCTCAATCTCAATTTGGTGTAACCCCAACTGTTTTGCATATCTTACACCTTGAAGCAAGGCCATCACCTCCGCTCTCAATGAGTCCCCCACTCCTATTGGTCCTGAAAACAAAGCCACAATTCTGCCATTTTCATCTCTGAAAACTCCTCCTATACCTGAAGGGCCTAGGTTACCTCTTGAACTCCCATAAAAATTCAATTTCACTCTTTGTTGTTTTGGTGGGGACCACAATTCCTGCATAATAGGTTTCATGGAAGTTGTAGAAGCCACCACTTCCCAATTCCTGTAAATGTCTTCAGCTGAGAAGCCTTTAAACAAATCCAAAGTTTTCAACCGATGAATAGTCATAATAATTATCATTTCTACAATTGCCTCCTTGGACTTCTCCACGCCTTTAAAGATTCTATTATTCCTTTCTTCCCAAACTGACCATAAGATAACTGCTCTTGTGGCTCTCCACATTAATCTTCCATGCCTCTTCGGTTGCCTGAAAAAGCTTGGGTCAAAAAGGCTTGCCACATCTAGGGGAGGTTTCCACCTACAACCCAAGATAGAAGAGAACCAAGTCCAAATAAAGCATACAAATGGACAAGAAATCAATAGGTGTGTGATCGTCTCACTAGATCCCAAGAAG